GCGAAAAATAAAAATGCTGACTAATTGCTATGATGTATTTGTGAACAGACTATTGTAGCAAAATAGCTTTTATTCGTGACATACTGTAATGTCGCAAACTATACAGTATATTAACGTATTTCATTCTCTAACGTTATGCAAACTACGCTTTTAACTTTCCTTTTTGACTAACTTGTATCTAATTGTTGATGTCCAATCAAGCAGTCATTTTAAGTCGATAGCACTTTTATTGTTTGTTAAAACCTAACATCGCTATATTTGAAATCCAATGTCTAAAATTTGAGAATAAATATCAAAGGAAAAGTAACCGCCATATAGGTATTTTGATCATCAGATTTGGCATGAGTGTCAGAAATTAATAACAAGTGACAATCTACACTAACATCGACTATTGTTTGACTTACAGGCAAAAAAATACTCGGAATAATTAGTTATCACACGACGTGTAACTTCCTGTTGAAATGAACGTGGTCGGACAATGTCGGTTATTGTCCTGAGAAACAATTACAGCAGATGCTTGATTCAAATGTCGAAGCTACCAATTTCCACTTTTCCATGTGTAAAAACTTGAACAAGGCTGAATTATTCAATAGTTGGAATTACTGTATAAAAAAGTATTGTAAATGTGGGAGCTTTTTATATGCACAGTCAAAAACGCTTGTTCAGTTTTTGAGTATGACAAAGGAGACCTTGTTTGTCTTATCGGTACCGATCTTGATATTTGTTTGAGTCAGATGACCAGATCAGCAAGCATAATATGCATCTTGTACATCAACAAAAAATTATCGATAAGAGTAACTCGTCTCTCGAAAAAGAATGTTCTTTGATATCGGTCAAATAAGGACCGTTGACTATGACATTGGTCAAATAAGGCGTTGACTATGACAATATATTTGTAACATTTCGGGTGTTCACGCGCCATAGTGTGGCGACTTTCGGAATACGATTATGGGTAAACAACAAAGTCCTGCAAATTTTAGGCTGTTGTAATAGTAAGCGTTTATGTTAGACATAACCGCGACTTTGCAATTATTATCAAAATAATTTATTATATTTGGTCCAATATAGTCCTAAGAAATAAAGTGCAAATTGAATCAGATTTCTTACAATTTAAAATCTTTGGCGCGAAAATTAACGTTTTATGAAAGAAGGAAATTGTGCGCAGAATTTATCTCAATTGATATACGAGAAAAGAGGCTTAGTAAAATGCTTACAACCGGTTGAGTTTTTGATTCAACAACTTTCTTTCTTACATCAAGATATTTACGTTTGTAATAAAGACAATTTTAAATTATATTTTTCAGCAAACCCATAAAGTACTAATGTTAGCCTCTAGGATGTATTCGCAAAGAACGGTATATTGATTGTGAACTTAACAAAAGGACGGGGACCAATTCTAAGGAGGCACGCCTACATTGCAATCAATCAAGTATCGTAGACAGTATAACATATTATGTATATGAATACTCTAAAACTATTTGGAAGAATTTTGTCTTACGGTCTTGCATTTCCTATAAGGAAATTATATGCAAGTTTTTTGCGCGAATTATTGGTGAATGGAATCTTCCTACAAGGAAAGCGGTTACTGATTCCGGCAGCCGAATTGTGTAGCTTGCTCTCTTTTCTGGTTGGTGTTCCGGTGGCTTAGTTGAGTGACAAGACATCGAGCAAGACTGTATACATTTTTTAGATGAGCCATCTGTGCCCAGCTAAGAATCGAATCTTCCCAAGAAAAACTGCAGTTGTTCATAAACTTGTAACCAAAGAACAAAACGTTATACTATATAAATGTTAATTAAACTCATGTTACAAAAATTAAGCAGTTAGTTCACAGAATTGCTACAAGATATTATGATAAACCGGATTAGGAATCAATTATTTGCTTCAAGAAAAACGTGCGTAGAGATAATGCTAATTATGTTATAACAATAGAAGGATTGGAACCATTAGTTGAAACAATTGTAATACGTTCATACAGTTTACAGGATACATGCGTTATCTAATGCGACAGGATAGGTTCGAGCGAAAGCACTCCTGCAGCACGAGTCCTGAAGTTTGGGCGCGCCAACAAAATGTCAGAGCCTCGTCTTCCGCTTTTAGTTTAAAGAAGTGAAACGTTGTAAAAGCACATTAAAAATACGGTAAGACAGCTGACATTATACAACGTGAACTAACACAACGAGAGAGTACTGCTTAATTTTTCCATATTACATACATCCATTGTGCGATATTTGTGTGGCCAATAAATTGATTTGATAAACAAGTTTTTTTTTGTTTACTTGAACAATCTATACAATTACCAATCACTGATGTGAAAATATGACGTTAACGATTTAAAATTCCGGCGAAGAAATAGTGTCACTTGTAGGTAAGTTTGCGCCCGTTCATGAGTTTCACGTTCACTTTTTCTGCCACTATTACCAATTTTATCTTGGACCGATAGTTGTTAATTAAATTGGTCAGACAAGATCGTCTGGAGTGTACACATCTTACCATTTGCATGCATGTTTATAAAGTTTTACGCCTCTCGAGTTTTTCCATTTACCACTGTCTATTACTGTGGCTAGGGAAATGATAACGTACGGACGCACCATATCCTGGCTGATTAAAAGTGGAAATTTTGATATTATAAAGACAACTCTTACACAGCTTTTTTGAACAGATGAATACAAAGCCATAAAAGTAAATAAGAGGTCGATACGGACTAACCAATTTATTTGGTATCACGTCGTACCTCAGATTTGTGTAACTGTTGTCTTCCTGGTGAATTTTCCGTTACACGACCTGATATGAACCTGGGCATCAATCGTTACGCACAAGTCTTATTGTGTGTAAGCCGCCCCCCCCCACCACCACACACACACGAATAATGAACGGGAGTTTTTTATTCAACAAAATTATAGATATGGTAAATTTTTCTACTTCATCTATGTATTATTAGTTTCACCCATTGTTTCATCCGTGAATATATTGTAATTACAAAGTGTATTAATATATTGATCCGTACATTTTATGCATTAAATACAATATCTTTTAATTTTCCATTATTCCTAAGGCGACGGAGGATCTGGATAGAAATAGAATGCTATGGCGATGATAACGTAAGTTGCAAGAAGTAATGCGCCTTCTAACCAATTAGATTTGCCATCCTGTCAATAAAGAATATGCAGGGTTAAATGCCTTTCCCAATGACTTTTGTACTGTAAATCATCGTTCATATTCAGATTCACTCACCTGAATCAAATAATTCATTATTAATACCGAAACGAACAACAACACTGTTTCAAACACTTCAAAGAATAATGTCATTGGCTGGCCGATAATCCAACCGAGCACGACCAAGAATGGGGTCACGAACAAAGCAATTTGTAGTGAGCTGCCTGCTGCAACACCAATAGCCAACTGCATCTTATTCTTCATAGCAACAGTAATAGCTGTCACATGTTCGGCAGCATTACCAACGATGGGAAGCAGAATCAGACCAACAAATGTCTTGGTAAGTCCTAGAGACTCGGTGATGCCTTCTATAGAGGATACAAGAAATTCACCGCATAAAGCGACTATGACGGTAACCCCAGCCAAAAGCAATAATGAAATAAGAAGGGTAAGTTCGGGTTCCTGGTCATCTTCATCCTCGGTGACATACAAGTGAACATGAGTTTTGAGCTAGGTTAAACAACGCGGGTTAGTATTGAGGTATAATAATTGCTCGCACGCTCTCCACGAGTTCGTTACTCGGATGTCTGTAAAGAAGCTTACCTGGAATAACAAATATAATCCATAGACTATCAATAAAACTATTGCCGTATAGTGACTCAGATTCACTACTTCGTAATCTGCTGTTGGTGGAATGGCAACACTGAACGCCGCGGGAATAATCAACGCAATACAAGCTAATGCCATCAAGCTAGCACTTGTCTGTGCCGCTGTTTCATTGAATTCCTGTGAGCTGTACTTTATACCACCAGCAAGAAAACAACATCCCAAGACGAGAAGCAGATTTGATATTATGGAGCCCAGTACTGATGCTTGAACGACTCGAATTTGACCTTCTTTAAGGGCAATGATTGCAATGATAAGTTCAACGGCATTGCCAAATGTTGCATTCAAGAGAGCGCCTATCGTCTATTATTAGTGACTGGATTAGTTTAATAGGTTCGCACTGAAAAATTTCATATCTTGGGTTCTGGTAAAAGCAGATTTTTTTTGTACCTGTCCAGTACGAAGCGCGATATCTTCTGTGGCAAATCCAAGTAATTTGGCAAGCGGTATTATAGCAAAGAAGTTCAATAAGAATATAGCGGTATCACCCCACTTCAAGAAGTGGGCTATAAAACCCAATGGTATAAATACCAATAACACGTTTACCCACGACGCTTTTACTATTCTCTCTAACGATTGTCGTGTTGTGGGTTTATGTATAATCAGCCTACTCTCTGAGTCGACATTTCTGTGAGAATGTGCAGACATGTCAAAGGTTTGTAAATTTTACAGTTATTCATGTTATTAGTGCTATTTATATTAATATTGAAGAGTGTGTCACAAGCTAAAACTAGCCATTTTGTAAATCTGATCTGTGACACAATCTCGCATTTGGCTTGTATAAAGAGAACTTTCGGCCGCAGATGGTAAACCCGGGTACTTATTTGTTACTCGAAATAAAAATATTAGCACACACATATTTATAGAGCGTGTTATATAATGTTACCAATACATGTGCATAAAGTCGATAGTCCGTGGTATCACATAGTAGAGATATTTTTAAAATGGTTCCAGATTGTGGCTAATGCTATTTAAAACAATCTGTCTAAGAAAAAAAGTCGGTCATTCAAAAATAAAGGGGGAACATAATAGTATAGAGGTTTTAGTTTGGGAACCCCAACCAAAAGAAGAAAAAAGATATGGCAATATAAGGGGGGTGCTATGATCAAAAAAGATAGCTGAATTGTACGTTTCAGATTGTTCTTTCAGAAACTTGTTTGCCATACTAATCATGAAACGATGTTCTGTACTCGACTTTGCTCGTAATGAATATATATTGCCCAGTCTTTCTTATGTCGTAACTCGGCAGTTTCAATTCCAAACTAGAAAACGGCAGAGAAACAAGTAATACTCGAAAGATTGAAATGCTACCACCTATCTTTTTTAAGTTTTTTTTTCCGCTCACACATGACGTCAATTATGCATGAATGTTTAATGATTCAGCTATGCAATTATACGTTCAATGCATTATATGAGCGTTCTGATTCATGCCTTTTGCTAGTTCGTTAGTTATTTATTTTTGAACCACCCTTGTGAAAGCGTATGTGGTTTAGTGGTATAATTACCGCCTGCCACGCGGTAGACCTGGGTTCGATTCCCAGCATACGCAAACTTTTTTCAATATATAACAGGACTTAACAATGATGTCATTATCGTATGTGTAGAGGACTACGCGCATATGGTAAGACTCATTGTTATTACATCAAAACTTTTGTAAATTTTAGCATAAACAACTGCTACATTAAACATTGTCTTAGGCAGGCTCTTTTGAGTTTATTAAAAGCGTCATGATTTTTCTCAATTGATTGTTATCATACGGTTTCTTTATCTACAATAAGCTATGGTCTCGCGAAGTTGTATTAAGATTAATGCGACGTAAATTCTTGTAGATCTAACGGCGAATCGAAATACTAGATAATGAAAGCCTGTTCAACAGACAACGAGAGGCAACGGATTAGTAAGCGTTTGGTATTAGTAGATTGACGAAAATAAAATGTTCTGCCAAATTGTTTTGGAGAGACAACGTTCCATCGTGGCCACATGCTCTGGTGAGCAATCATGGTTGGAAAATGCGTTTTGAACGAGAACTTATACAATTACTGGAAAAGAAAACGTGACATCAGTGGTTTTACTCTACAAGATTGTCGGTTATTACTCCAATAGATTTTTTGACCAGTGATAAAAAATATCCGAACCGGCCTTAATTCAAGATATGAACCAAAAAACGGTTTAAACTTTCCCTACGTACAGTGAATAATAAAGCCTGATTATCTGTAAATTTCAGCCCGATCGGATGTCTCCAGTAAAAATTTCCAAACAACTATGAAAAATGAAAAACATGTCAAATCACGTTTCGCTTATTTAGAGCAAACTTTAAAAATCCATATGTTTCTAAGCGATTTGCATAATTTTTTTTGTTTTGCTTGTCAAATTCATGTCTATACGTTTCTTGAATATGTAGTCTGAATCGAAAACTATGCAATCAATGCGCATGATATTATTCGATATCATCATATCGCACGATCGTTTACATTCTACAGTTAGTATTTTCATGAACAAATAAAAAATTACAAATTTGACTGTGAAAAGTGTCGATATAAAAGAATTTTTATAGCAAAATTGCGTATGGCGTGCGTTGAAGCTGAAACACGCTGGTATTTCGCGACGAGAGTGATTATGGGTGAGAATTTCCATCGAGCTGAAACATATACACTATGCGCAGGAAATTTCAACCGTCTTCTCTCACTTGTGTTTCGAATTAGGACCGGTCGTAGCAATGTAAGTTAGTTTTTGAACTAAGAGCCAAGAATGTATAAAGTAGAACGGAGAGAGGGA